AGGGTTTAGGATATCCCTAAACCCTAAACCCTAGACCTTTGGAGGTTATGAACCTGAACTTCAAACCTGACAGCTGATGTAGGTCCTGAGTAACTGTGGTAAAATCTTCAAGGAACTCCGCTCAGTTGACGTGTAGGGCTGCGGGGTACTGCCTTTCTAGTATCATCATAGTTTAGGCTTTAGGGTTTAGGGTGTTCATTCCCAGCAACCCTAAACCCTAAGCCCTGGGTAGGACACACCCACCTCGTCTCCTATCCTCTGTCATGCGCATGGCTTTGCCACCCCTAGGGTTTCAGCAAAATTGGAAAATCCCTAAACCCCCTAAACCCCTAGACCTAAAGCCGTGAGGTATAAGCAGGATGGGAAAGTATGGGTTGATCTTAACAACGTGGGCCCCTTCTGGTAACAGACTATACTTCAAATGGGACCCAAATTTTTTGGAATGACCCATATCTTCGTGCTTGTTTCTAGGTTTTCAGTACCCCGCACCAGGGGATGTTAGGGTTCGGTGGCTGGTGTTGTGTGGAGATTTCTAGGGGCCCCAGTTTAGGGTTTCGGGTTTAGGGTTTGGAAACCATAACCTCTAAACCTCTATGGCGTACTGAAGCAACTGAGTGTGGGTCAATGCTTGGGTGTTCTTGCTCCAAATCACAAGGGTGTCTGGTATGGGACTCGCAACTGTAGGCGCCTCCTTATGAGTTGCAAGATGCCTGTGACCCTGCCTTGCACAGCTCCAAAGCATAGGGTCACTTGGGCTTAGGCATTGCGTACTGTAAGCTTTAGGGTTTAGGGTCTAAGCAGAAGACTCTCGTCCACACATTACTGAAAACTGGATGTCACACACCGTACCAACTACAGCGCTAAGCCACACCAGGCACTGAATCCCAAAGCGCACACACCCGAAACCCTGAGCCTCTCCTACAGATTGGGGGAACCCAATATACATCCCAGTATAATACTGTATAATCCTTGCTATGAGGGGCACTCTCCACCACAGATAATCGCATCCCGTAAAAAGACTCAAACTGCTTTTTTTCGAAGAAGAGTCACCCAAAAGAAGGGGCCCCCTAATTTGCGGAATCCCTCCCATATTTAAGTATGCCCGTACCCAAATTAGCACCACCAGGACGATAAAGAAATGGAATCTTGTCAGATCAAGCAAACGGTTGGATTATTGGGGTTTACGGTTTAAAGTCTACACTGCTAGCAAATTTGCTTGTTAGCAACGATTTGAAATTGCAGGTCTAGCCAGAGGAGAAGGAAGGTTTTAGGCCAAAACCAACCCATGGGTACCACAACTCTTGACCTGTTGTGCTGACCATTTAGGGTTTGCTTCCTGGTGGTTGCTAGTGGAATATCGGAATGTGTTCCCGTATTCCCTACTAGCCACAAGTAACCTTGGGTGTCAGGGTATAGGGGAACACCAAACCCATACACCCCTGCCCATTTAAGCAGACGCCAGACGCAGAGGCCCCTCCAACGACATTGCAGAGCCCCGTGAGTTGGAGAAGAATAGAATCGCTTGGATGTTCGCATCTTAGGGCTCCGGGTTTAGGGCCTTCTTGGAGGGTCAGGGGGATTTAGTAAGTAGGTTCCCTGTAACCCATATAGTAACCCCAGCTATCCCTAGTATCGACCTAGTTATTAAGTCCCCCTGACCCTCCAAGTAGGCTCCCTGCCAAGGGTTTAGACTTCTGGGTTTAGGGTTGATAATTTGGCCTCCAGGGTTTGCGGGCTGGGGGGGTATGGAGTTCAGGTTCGGATTCGGATCTGCTCCCTTGCCCGTACACCCTATGAGTCCTAAGCCTCAACACGTGTTGAGACGGGCCCTTGAAACCGAAATGGTGCCAATGTGAACTAGTCATTCATGCATTGTAGATTTGTTCAGACAAAGCCCTCAACCCCTAAACCCGTAAATCCTAAACCCGAACCTTCTAGAGGTGATCTCCAAGAATGCTGGGTTCTTGTTGAACAGCATTTTACATGTTTATGTATACCTGACCCCTTTATTTTAGAATAAACATTTTTAATAGCGTCTCAACAAGAACCCTGAACCTTTTCAAGACAAGCAGCCCTGATAAAGTTACGTGTTTACTGGCTTGCTGTCAAGGAACTTGAATGATGCTACCACAACATGGGTATATAGCAAATATTTCCTAAGGTTCTTTGTTATAGTAACTTAGCTTAAGATCCTTAACAGCAACCCAGCCTAAGGATTATGATTGGGCTTAGACCTGTAGGTTCAGTGTTGAAGAGTGAGAACATTCTTTGAGCTATAGTTTAAACTGCTAGTATCCCCCTCAGTAACCCCTATAGTACTCCCCTACATGAACACCTATATATCCCGCTTTAAGGAGTTTAGACTATCGCTCATATTGGGCTATAGTAAATGTGTCCTGGGCTTCCGATTTCAGAGCTTTCTTCTATTGACGAACCGCCACAAACCCTGAGCCTTAAAGGCTTGAGCTGGACTTGCAAGACTGGGTTGCTGTTAAGGAGCTTAAAGAATTAAGTTACTATATTGGGGAAACCATATTTATTACTGACTATATATCCATACCCATTTGGTAACTTAAGTTAAGTTCCCTAACAGCAACCCAGAAGAGTATTGAACAGATCGACCAGAAATGGAAGTTTCCAAGAATGGGCCCAATGTATCCCGAAAACATGGAAGTTCCTGGGTCCCTGAACCCAAAACCCCAAACCCTAAACCGGAATGACCCGCAAGCCAAGATCCACTGTGCTTGGAAGCTCCCAAATACCTATGCCGCTGCTGTGGCACCGCCAATCTCACAGCCAAAAGGTTGAGAGCGCAGGGCGCAGGGAGTTAACCATCATTGGCACTGCTAGCAGCCAGCATCCTAGTAGTACTGTAGCAGTAGTACTACTAGCACGACGACGACAACGACGACGACGACGACGACGACGACGACGACTACTACTACTACTACTACACTTGTACCTGTCCCTTCACGCATGTGAGAGCGAAACTGACAGAAACTGTCGGCCCCACATCCTGAGGCCGTAAGCCCGGTCTATTACGGCCGGCCGCACGTGCAAGTGCAGTTCCCATGCGCGCTATATTCAAAGGCACCTAGCCATCAATCAGTCAAGGCATGCATTGCAACGACGCGTGAGACTTAACTGCACAACACCCATACCAGATTTAGCGCAGGCTGCAAGACATTGCAGGGCAAGTTTATAACTTGCGTTCTGAATGTTCTGCGCTAGACGATCCAACTGGCCCACGGATACGTCAAGAGGAAATTCATAGAAGTACAACCAATCACCATTGAACCTGTAGGTATTGCATTACTCTTGGAGTACAGAACTGCCGGATTTGGATTACCATCATTGAAGGATCTGCGAGCTTACCCTAAGCGCCCAAACCCCTAACGCCCTAAATCCCTAACCCCTGCCATTCTCGACTTTTCAAGGCCAAGTCAGATTTCCAAGATGCTGATGCAAATATTGTCGGGTGTTCAGGGTTTGGACTTGAGGGTGTTCGTTGCTGAGCCTCAAGCCCTAACCACGGCTGTTGTTGAAATCAAATACAGCGGTCACTCCTGTTCAAGATGTGTCAACATGCACAGACGTACTTGCAAAATCTGACGACTAAGGTCCAAAAGCGTGGAAGTTTACGGGCTACGGGTATAGCCTATCACCTACAATCCCGCTTGATGGAAACCGTTAGTTGTGTGCGGCATGCCTACCCAGTTTGTCACACATAGGCCAGCGGCGTGGTAATGTTCACCCGCGACATCAAACATGTTCTTGGAATTCTTCATTGAATCAGCCTTAACTCAAAGGTCCAAGTAAGGGTTTGGGGTCTAGGGGGGTTAGGGGGTTTAGGGTTTAGAGACTTGGGATTTTGGTACTAGTATTTGTGATGCAGGTTTGGCGTAAGTATCTGATTGCAGAGTACTTGGACCCTTAGGGACACTGTTGTTTGAATACGTTACACGTAAAGTGCCAAAAGCCTGTCTTCTTATCGCCTCCAGTTTTGTGCTAGTTGTCAGGTAGATGGAGGCATCTTGTTTCGAGAAATCGCCAAGTGCGTGCTGTTTTGGATTCTGGCTTTGCAAAAAACCGGGGAACGACAAGCTATCAGCACCACATGTAGAGTGCATAACATGTAGTGTTAAGACGATGCGGTGACTGAGTAAACGAAACCTTAACATATGCTTCACTTGCTGAATGTTTGGTAAAACACTATCAAGAGCTTCCGTCCGAAGCCTACGTCAACGCAAGCAGCAAGGTGATCAAGAAGAGAAGACAGAGAGTAGCAGAAACAGGTAAGAAGAACAAAGCAGAGGGAGTGAGCTTCTTGGCGCTAGCTGCTGCTGTGGGTATCAGAGAAGGAGGAGGCCGGCTTGGTGAATTACTTTATTCCATTATTTGTCATGTTTTTTCCGTTTGTTTTTTTGGGTGGGGAGGTGTGCTGTGGATTCAGGATTTAAGGGTTGCAGAGTCTAGGGTCCAGAGGGCTCATTATTAGAGGTATGCTGGGGCGCTTACAATCCACATTGAGCGGCGCTTTTCTCTACCCCCCTCCACCTCCCCCCCATGACGGTGATGGTTTGGGGCCTGAGTTCTCAAGCCTCTGGATAGAAGAGCCTGCGCTCTCAGTTCCGCGTTGTGACCCTAAATCCTAAACCCTAAAGCCTAAACCCTAAATCCTAAATCCTAAATCGTGTAGTGGGAAGTTGGGATAGGAAGTTGGATGAAAACCTATCAAGGCATCGTCTTACCTCTCCTATTCCCTGCCAGGGCCGAAGCAATAAAAACACATATGAGCTATAGTCTGCACTCCTGAAGGGGGTTATATAGGGGATTATATAGGCTCCATAAGGGGGTTATATAGGGAATTATATAGGCTCCTTAAAGAGTTATATAGGGGATCATTGTACAGGTTCCTTAAAGGGGTTATATAGAGGAATATTATAGGGGTTATTACGGGGGATGACAAATGCGAAGTTATCGGGGTCGGCCAGCTTCAGGAAGCCGCACTGGTGCCTCACCTGCCTGCTGCGCTGCTGCGTGCGCCGGCGGGAACCAGCAAGCTGAAGTGGAACTTCGAGCTGCTTGGGGCGGCTGTCGGGGATGAGGACTTCACTGACCAGCACACTGCCTCACGGGTTCGAGCGGCTGCCCCCTTAGTGGAGGCTTTGGCTGAGCTTGAGGATGCGCAGGTTGGTTTGCGCCTCCTGCGCAGCTGCGCTGGGCACTGCCGCCTTGTGCATGGCTCGCGTTGTGCTCCGCCCTCTGGCCAGCGCAGCGCTCTCCAGCACTTCGACTCCTTGGTGCGTGATTGCTTTTCCGGCCTTACGGGCCTGCACCTAAATGGCTGGCAGTGGGAGCAGGCGGGGCGCGGCCTTGCATATGCCGGCCTCGGTCTCCGCTCAGTCGCTTCAGATGGCGCTGCGGCTTACCTGGCCTCACTTGGAGGTTGCTTGGAAGCTTGTCGGGCCATCGACCCACACTACGCTGCCGCCGGCCTTGCTACGGAGCCTAGTGTTGTGGCCGCTGCGGCTGGCCTGCCGCAGCCCCTTGCCCCGCACCTAGCGCTTGCCATGAAGCAGAAGGCGCTCACCAAAGCCGCTGATGAAGCCGGCTGGCAACGGCAGCTTGAAGGTGCCTCAACCACGGCTCGGGCTCTCCTCCGCTCTGAGGCTGAGCCGGGCCCGGGCCTTCTTGGCCGCAGTCCCGGTTGGTCGCAAGCGCATGGACACTGCCGCGTTCGTGGCTGAACTGCGGCAGCGCCTGCACGTCCCGGACAGCTCTCAGGACACCTGGTGCCCCCGCTGCAACGGCATCTTGGATAGTCATTCGCTGCATGCAGGCACCTGCATTGCAGGAGGAGAGCGAACCATGCGGCATAATGCCGCCAGGGACCTCGTCTGTTGGTGGGCAGACAAGGCTGGTCTCAACCCAGAGAAGGAGAAGCCAGGCTTGCTGCTCCCACAGCGTCCGGAGGACGCGGGACAGGCTGGCAGACGTCCTGCAGACATTTACTTGCCTAGCCTTTCGGGCTTCCCAGCTGCACTTGATCTCGCCATTACGGCGCCGCAGCGGCCGGAGTCCTTGGCCCAGGCCAGTCAGTCTGCCCTTGCCGCGGCTTCGGCTTACAAGCTTGCCAACCATTTGGGCACGGCCCAGGCCTGCCAAGAGCAAGGTGCGGTTCCTGCCTCTTGTTCAGGAAGCCACTGGTGCGTGGGAGGCCTCAGCTGCCAACGTCCTGCTGCAGATTGCGAGGGCGGTTGCGGCTCGCACACAAGAAGAGGCATCGCAAGTGCATGCCGAGATGCTCCAGGAACTGCGCGTGTCAGCCCGTAGCCACCGGGC